CTGCTGAACATTAAGCTGATGTGTAACTTGACAGTTAGTACAGAGCAGGGGCACTGGGCACCATCCAACTTTCAGCCTCTCCAGCAGGGCCTGGGACAACTGTCTGCTGCCAACTGTCTGCCAGATGCTTCTACACCACCAGCTCTCCACTGAGACAACTCTACATGGATTGTCAGATGGTGCACAGTGCTGTGCCAGTCCTCACTGCAGTGGGGAGCTGCCTTCTCCTGGGCTTCCCAAGCAAAACCCTGCTCTAGTTCTCCCCACCCACCTTTTGTCTGGCCTGCACGTTTAGCTGGCCACATCTATGCTGGCTAAAATGCTAATTTTTGTATGTCAAAAAGCAAGGCTTGTGTAACAAAATGGCAGGCTGTCCCCTTGCCTGCTTGCCTCTTCCTCCCCTTCATGTAACGTGTACTGCAGGCAGGGCAGGAACAAGTTTGCTGGTGTTCCCCTCCCCTGCCTCCCATGGCAGCCCAGTTGCTGCCAGGCACTCAGGGCTCCCACACGGAGCCCCTGCTGGTGCTCGAGGGCTTCGTGGAGCTCACCATGCAGAGGGACCACTGGTGGTGTGATGCTGTACGACTGGGAGGAGCAGCAGGTCAGGGAGGGCTGGTGCAGCAACCGCACATCATCTGCTTACACATGGAGCTGTCCCACCGGAGAGCTGGTTGGGGTGGGCAGCTGGTGGTAGCCAGTTGTCCCTTTCTGTCTCCAGCAAGGGAGTCTCAGCAGGGCTTGTAGCAGAAGGCTCTGATAGTTGGTTCAAACAGCTGAGGAACCGAATGATAATAATTTCCTTTCACTCCAATGCATGAACCCACTGTGATTTACCTGTAATTACCAAAAAGTACACAATTTTACAGTAATGCATAACTTCCCTTTTCTTAGTCTTCAGGCTTCTGATTACTGCTTCTTGCTCATCTTTATTATGTTTGGAAGAGAAAGCATTTTCAATTTATTGTAATCAGAAAACAAAAATCAAGTATTTTAATGACCGTAATTAATTTTAATATGACTGAAAGATTTGCTACTCAGAGTAATTTTAGAGCACATTCACTAATCAGTCTACAATAATTAAATAGAGTGTCTCTTCAGAGCTGGGAAGGGATTTTGCTTTGTTTTCTGAAGGAAAAACATAGAACTAGTGATGGAACACACTAAACAGGTGATAAATTCATTGCTTTTTTGGTTGTGGGGTTTTTTTTTCCTCATAGTATTGATTAGATTACCCTTTTATTTCAAAGCATCACAACCTTCATATTCAAAATATTAGTTTCAAACAAAGTTCAAAAATAATCCACTGATTGTTACTGCATCTACTGGACTAATAAGAGAAGCTGCCAGCTGCAGGATAAGAATTAATTGCATCACTATGGGGGGCAGCAGGCTGAAGTATTAGGAAGTAGTAGATAGTGTTTGCTCTAAACAAAACAGTCTTTCATAGGTGTTTTATTTCAGGTATCTGCTAAGATTCTGTTCCAAAGCTTTTGTAACTACTATGTATATTTCACTCCCAGTAACTGACTTCTAAGCTAATTCTTTTCTTTTTTTAGGAAGGAACAACCAAAATTGGAAGAATTGATTCAGACCAAGATCAAGATATTGGTAAGAGAATGATACTACAAATTATTTTGTTATATGGCCAGGTTAAACCAGGAGGTTTACATTTGTCATGTGTAGAAACTAGGTAATATTTCTGTTTGTCAGCTTACTTTATAGAAGGTAAGGAGAAGAGAATAATTGTTTATTTAAGTTATTTTTCGATTTTGCTGAAGAGGTCAGAGAGTCAATGATCTTGACCTAATTGAGATATTTTCAGAATTTTCTTCCCACTTGTGAAATGTTGTGCTGGAGTTTAAAAGTATCTTAATCCAACATCCAAATCTTGGTATGTTGTATGCTAAACTAGTGGCACAAGTGATCATGAGACATTGAAAATGCTTTTCAGCTCTACTTGGGCAGAGTATTTTAGATATAAAATCCTAATGATTCAGAAAATGTTCTATTTTATTTCATTTCTGCTCTTAATTTTAACAGTCAATTTCAGGAGCTACAAATTATGATAGACTGTTGAAACTTTAAACTGAAATTAGAAACTTTATGAAAGCTCAGCTATGGTTAATTCTGCTAAGTTTGGTTCGGTTTGATTATTTTCTGCCGGTAGGTTAGTAAAACATAAACAATAAATGCCGTAATAGCAATAAGGGAATTTAGCATAATAGAAGTAAAACATAAACAATAAATGCCGTAATAGCAGTAAGGGAATTTAGCATAATAAAAAAAAACAAACTAGCACATCAGCTCATAAATCAGAAAGTAATGTATAATTTTCTGGAACCAGAAATACTTTAAAAGAGCAATCTCACTATTTTCAATCAAGTAAGTTTTTCTGTGACTGGGTACTTAACAATCAGAGAAGACGACTCAATCTCCTTGTTCTGCACATGACACAGTTCTCTGAGGTATGAAGGATGCAGTCATAGTGTTAAACAGTGCGTGGTGGGGGAAAATAGGGCAACCTTAACCCCTCCAACAGGTGAGATAAAACATATCTGTGGGCTGTAGTTTTGCAGGGACGATGGATTGAGCGGGATCACTGTATGATAGACAACAACTGTGGGATTGTGACACTGCGACCCGTCCAGGGTGCGCACTGCACAGTGAATGGATGTGAAGTCACTGGATCATGTCGTCTGTCACAAGGTGAGGCTTGCTTGGGCAGTGAGTGCTGCATTGTAATCATCTTAACTCTGGAGTTTACAGACAAGGATTTAGGGAACTCTTGCAGGTCTGAGAAATACATGTCACAGTCTGCTGTCTAGAACAACAAGGTTTGATCCATGCCTAGAGCTTCCAGACTGCCACAGATAAATTAAGTACTCCCCAGAAAGTAAAATGAAGACATAGGTGACAATATTAAGACCACAATAGAAAATGAAGACATAGGTGACAATATTAAGACCCCTCTTGGCCACAATAGTCTGCATCCCTCTGAAAGGGGAAGGCTTGTAGTCAGAGGCACTGCAGTGGAAAGGAGTGGAGACTGGCTCGAAGCCAGGTGACCACTGGAGGGACTTTTGGGCAACTACATAACATGGTTGAAATAACCTTCAACTTTCACAGTGTGTTTAGATGGAGGGTAGTAGCCACTGAGTCATGGGCTATGGTGAATGAGCTCACATGAAATGGATCAGACTCCCATACATTCAGGTTGTTTAAAATAAGTAAAAAAAAACCCCAACAATCAGGCCACTTTCCAGAAACTTACAGAGATCTGGATTGTTGAAAAGATTGTATAAAAACAAGTTTACAGCAGTGGGTTTGTTATGTTTTTTGGTATGAAGTCATGCTAGTCTTCAATATGAACTAAGAATTTACTGTTACGTTGTGTTTGCAGAGCTCTCCAAGATTAGTTTGCTTGGATGCTGTCATTACAGAATGATAACTCTGCTGTTCCATAGTGGCAAATTTTATAATAGCTTTCTGCTCTTTAACAGTCAGCAAGCTATTGGTCACAACAGGTTTTTTTTAACATACTGTTCTGTAGTAGTTTGTATATGCTTTAGTCTGTGTACTGGAGTTAAGATAGTGCTGACATTCTAGGGATTGTAGCTTCCTAATTAATTTTCATTCACAGGGGCCCTTGTTGTTCTTGGCAAGTCTCATAAGTTTAGATTCAATCACCCAGCAGAAGCTGCTCTCTTAAGACAAAGAAGATCAGTAAGTTTTAAAACTGTGTTTGTCTCTTAATTCTGCATTGATTTTCCTAATTATTTTTTCTCTTAAAAGCAAGCCTAATATAGAAAATATTTCTTCTCATCTTCATGTTCACTTGCTTAATTTGCTCCATCTAATGGTCTGTAATGAGACTAAACCTTTCGTGGGAGGACATAGCTCTTCTTTCAGATATGCTTAGCAAAAGATGATGCAGATCCCTTGAATAATTTAGGGTTTCCTATTTCTGGTCATGACTACAGTAGAATTGACACAGAAAGGCAGAATGCTGCACTGAAAAGACCAGTTAAATATTTTTTTCAAATTTGCTAATTTTCTAAATTATCTTCTTTCTCTGACATTTCACCATCCCAAACAAGCTATACTAGAAGAAATGGAAAACTTGTGGGATTAAGTGCTTGAGTATTCTTGATTCTAAAAGTACTTAATTGTTACATACATCACAAAGACAGAAAGTCTACTTGGTATGTTAATCACGGGAACTAACTATTGCAAGCTATTATTTGGTCAGCTAGTTCAATAATGCTTTAAAAAAAAAGTAGGCAATTTTTAAAATGACTGGCATATATAACAAAAACAAGAACAAACCCCACACAAAACAAACTTAAAGAATGTAATTTTTCTGGTTTAGCACATAACCATATTAGCAACTGATAGTGACAATCCATTTAAAATGTATTTTCATACAGTGATGTTCTGTCCTTTCCACTCAGCTGTCCTTTTGTTCTCATTTCTGTAGCTGAGATAAGGAGCTTAACTTCCGTTTGTTTTTGTTCTTAATTTATTTACTAATGGAACATGCAGTGCATTAGAACAGAGCTACAAGGAGAGATGTACTCAGTAAGAAATACTTAGCAATTTTGCAATTTATCAAATACTAAGCAGAGCTGTGAGATTATAAACTCACATGGGAGGTATTAGGCAGCAGTACACACAGTCATTAGCAACAGCAGCATTAATGATAACTTGGAAGTTTCTAGGTTGTTGTGATGTTTTTATCTCCTCTTATTTTGTGTAGATCAGTGAAATCCCACCCATTCTGAGTTGTGGAGCTTTGGACTGGCTCAATTTGGATGGAAGTTGCACCCATTCTCCTCACTATATCCTTTCTTATCTTGACAAGTAAGTTACAAAAAGCAAACAAATAAACTCTTTCTTCAGACAAAACTAAGTTGTGGATGGAGTAGGTCCCATCATATTTACAAATGGTCAAATAAAATAATCTGAGAAAAAGCATATGCCAACTGACAATATACAGTGTTATGATATCCAAGCAACAAACCTGAAAAGTATTTATTGATGCATGATGAATGCACAATGAAGAAAATGCCTCAAATGGAACTGCCAGACAGCCTTAATTCAATTAACTTGTACATCTGCATTGTAGCTGTTCTTATTTATGAGCTAATCTATAACTTTTACAACATTCTTACTTCAGTACACAGAATGGACTTTTCTAGCTATGATTTAGCTAACATAATTATTACTAATTCAGTTTCCCTGCTACTTTGTTGTGGAAATCAGAAGTTTGGTTTGTTCATAAAGTCCCTTTAGTTCGCGTCCTCATTGAGCCTTTCATCTCAGAAAGCCATTTTGATTTTTTTTATTATTGTTTTTTAAACTGAGCAGTAAATAAGGCATAAACTGCTTCTGAACTGTTGAAGAGCTGCTCATATTCACAGTGTCTAGTGTGTGCTTTTAATGGCACAGCCTTTCTGAAAGGGAGAGGAAGGCAGTGATTAACATGTTTCAGGAAAAGTAATTAAGATATGTCCTATGTTTCAGTTCATAATATTGAGAACAGAATATCACAGAATTAAATGTAATTGGGTTCTTTCTCTTTTTTAATTCCTCTCAGCCTGGCACATTCAATTGACCTGTTAAAGGCAAGAAACAGCCATCTTTTCATTCATATCTGTTGATAGTTCTGCTTCTTGCTAGAGTGTTTTTGGTGTGGTAACATGCTGGGAATCTTTTTTCTCTTTCTAGAAGAAGCATTTCATCTTGTTTTTATGAGCATAAAATGTTACGCCTGTTTTGAACATCTCTCCATACTTCTAGTCCAGTGGCTTGCTTTCCACCTGGGTAGTCTTTCTGTGTGTTCTCTTTCATGTATCTAATCTCTGCGTTTGCTTTTCATTCACTGCAGTGATACCTCTCTATACAAAATGGTATTTAATTTTATTTCTTTATTGAGATAAATTTTACACATCACTGCTGTTATTTTATTTGTAAAAATTACAAAGCATTAAAAAATAAGGATTTGTCCTTCAAAAGCAGATGCCAAGTTGCTCTTGACATGGACATAAGCATTAGAGAGGGAGCTTTTGTCACAGAAATTTGTTGATGGTCCTAGAAAAACCTACAGAAATCCCAAAGCAGAATTGCACTTGGTTTTACCCTTTTTAACCTGACAAAATTGAAGAACATTTCTGATACACTTTTTTTTCAGGCCACATTTAGGTAGCAGATTTGTTTGTGTTGATCGTTTTTTTAATATTTTTTTTTATCACTTTGACAGGACTACGCATATTATATTGCTTAACATTACCCTTGTGCTTACCTAGTGTGCTTCAAATGCTTACTTCAGTGAAAATGAAAAGCATTATGGTACTGCCTTCACTCGATTTCTATGAATGTCCATCTCCCACAGGAATAAGCTATGAACTACTTCTAATATTAGTTGTCTTTCACCTTACATAGTCCAGTGGTCTTTTTTTCATCTTCAAGATTTTTTTGGCAAAGTAAACTCGATTGATCCACTTAGTCTTCCTTTACAGCAACCAGGAAGTCTGTGTTTCTGTTCAGACAAGTAGTTTTGCACATGGAGGGGCTTATGATTAAGACATCTAGCCTAAGATCTGTCATATGAGAACAAAACAAGATACGCGTGGCCCTTCAAATGTCCCATTTCCTGATGAAAAGTCAGTGTCATGTACTAAAAGGTGTGTCTGAGATACTTTGCAAAGAGTAATACAGGCCTAAGTGGACCACAGGGAGTGCTTATTTGCTCATCAATAAGAAGTCCACCTAGTGCAGGGTTTTGTCTCTATGAAAAAGAGATGCTTAGAGGAAAAGAACAGGGCAAGCTGTGTGTGTGTGTGTGTCTCTCTCTCCCCCCTCTCCCTTGATAGTTCTCAATGCTTTCCCAGCTGCTAGCAATCTGCATCTTAGAGTCTTCCTCTACTGAAAATTACAATAACATCTCATGTGTAATAGGTTCAGTGACGTTTTCTTGCCTTATTTTTTAACATTTTATGATTTTCTGTTTTTATTTTCACAGTCAAAAATGTAGCAACTGTAAAGAAAAAAGAAATTCTACTGAACTAAGGTAAGACTATTAATATACTTAAATGGTGCTGAAGCTTTTGGCCCCTCTAGCTTTGTCTCTCTCCTGTCTACACTGATTTTATCCAGAAG